TGGATAAGGCGTTGATCTCAATCGCGCCCAAAAAGGAGCCAAGACGTTAGATCGAAGCTCCGATCCCCACTATCGGACGAGACGAGGAGCTATATGTGGTCAGCTTCGATGGATCAGCCCGTGTCAAGAGGAGTGGAGGCGCCTACAGCGGGATCCTGTGGAGGCTACCCGAATGGAGGGTGGTGAAAGCTAGATCAGGGTATGCTGAAGGCTTGACGGTGAATGAGGCAGAGTACCATGGGTTGTTACTATGCCTGGATCTGTTGGAGGGTCTGGATCCACAGCGTCTGGTGATCTGCGGAGACTCAAACCTGGTGATCCGACAAGTACGAGGAGAGATCGACTGTAAAGCACCAGGTCTGACACTGTTACGAGCCTTGGATCGACTGCAAAAATGGCCAGATCATGAACTATTGCATGTCAAGCGGGACTGGAATGGGAGTGCTAACAGCCTAGCAGGTGCCGCTCTACAACGACAATGTGGGATCGAGATAGAGTCTGATGCAGAGATCCAGGATCTCATGACTTTGAATAGGCTAGATGAGATCCTGATGGTGAAAGTCGAAGAAGAGACCCTACGATTATCAGCGGTGACGACCCGATCGAAGGCTAGATCGGGGGTACGTGTGGGATCTGATCCAGACTCCTTACGAGAGGAAGTCGTGAGAGAGCTACGGATCGAGTGGATCCGACAAGCGCAGGACGAGGAGGCGTGGATCATGGGCTTGAAGAAGTATCTAATCGGGAGATCCGGGATCAGACACAAGAAGAGGCTAGAATGTTTGGATCTATTGCTGTGAATTATGAAGTGGATTAGCGGGATCTACTCTTCTATTGTCCGACAACTAAGGAAGCCGCTGCAGATCGAGATAAGCTGATGCGACTAGTGGTACCTGAGACCCTTCAACAGGACATTTTACACCACTATCACACGAGTTTACAGGGTGGTCATCAAGGGGTCGGTCGCACCTATGATCGGATCCGCGATCACTTCCACTAGAGAGGTCTATATAAGAGTGTACAACGATATGTGGGGGAATGTATCGATTGTGAAACAGGCAAGGGAAAACCTCGGATCCAAGGCGAGTCACCCGGTAACCTTCAGGCAACGTACCCATTTCAAATCATGCCATGGATCACATACCTTCATTGCCTAGATCCTTCAACGGCAATACTGAATTGCTGATCTTCGTAGATCTATTCTTGGGATATGTGATCGCCAAAGCCAGTGCCTCTAGATCTGCCCAAACAATCGCCGAGACTTACGAAGAATGTGTCTTCCGTCGGTTTGGCGTGAGCGAGGTGATCCGACACGATTGGGAGCCTTGCTTTATGTCTGATTTCTTTAATTCGTTCAACAAGATCCTGGGACAGCGCCAACGGGCTACTATGTCCAAGCTAATGGATCTGCAGAACGTATGGTTCAGACAACCACCAGGGCTCTTAAGATGTATTTGGAAGATCTAGATGAACGAGATTGGGACGAATATGCGGAACAACTCACCTTCGAGATCAATACTGCAAGGGATCGGATCCGAGGTGAAACGCCTTTCTACATGATACATGGCTGGGATCCTAGATCTACCCTGGAAGCTGTGATCCCGGTTGGGAGCCCTCGCAGGTACGATCGAGATCCGAGAAGATGGAGATATGGAATGCAAAAGTATTATCAACAGGCCAGAGAACAAGTGAACCAGCGGCTACGTGTGGCGATCGCAGATCGGGCCGATACGCATAACGATCTAGCACGACCACATCCTATGGAGTCTGGATCAAGGGTCTGGCTGTACCTAGATCGAGTGCGTGAAGGTTACGCAAAAAAGCTGGCGCACTTATGGCATGGTCCATTCCGCGTTCCCGAGAAGATCGGAGAGTACGCTGTGAGGTTGGAGGTAGCGGGATACCAAGAAGCAACGCACTCTTCATCTTCCTAAAGGTGTGACTGCTTCCAAGCCTGTGGCTACTCCACCTGTTTCAGAAAAAGTTTCATCAAAGAAGACTCGCCAGTCCAAGACTTCCAAAACCGATGTTACTCCCAGTACATCTCAGAAGTCATCTACCAAATCTACCGGTCGTCGTGGTTCGCAACCATCATCTTCCACAATCCCCAGTCCTCGTTCAGTGCCAAAACGCACCGCTGCTCGTCGCTCGGAATTCCGGTCGTCCCTACATTGCGAGTTCCAAGACACATCTGATGCTCACGCTATTGGAAAGGCGTGTATGACCCAGTCATCTTCCGTTGGTGTAGACCAGGACGATTCTGGTGGTCTCAATCCAATTTCGATTTCTACAATCTCTGCCGACAACCCGTCGTCTGATGAATCCATAATCTCGGTTCGCAAATTGGAGCCCGCAGCGGAGGCTCAAAATCCAGTTGATCTGGCGTCTTCTGCTTCAGAAAATGACGATTCGAGTAATGACGCCGATCGTGAAATGGCTAAGCTCAGTCCTGAGACGGAGTGTTTGGACGAGCTTCCGAAAACTGAACCTCAGGATGTTCAGGATGTTGCAGACAGCACTCCTGCTGCTGTAGAACCATCTGATTCTAACTCCAAGTCGTCACCTTCAGTTCCAGTCCCAAAGCCGCCTGCTGCGACTAAATCTTCAGCTTCCGCTCCTGTCAAGGCTGTTGTTCCTGTCAAGGCTACTCCTGTCAAGGTTGCTCCTAAGCCGGCCTCCAAGACGAACCGGAAAACCAGAGCTCGTGTGATCACTAGTTCCGCCAATTCTGGTC